AGGCTTGCAATCCCGTTGCCGGTCCCCGGTCCGGTACGGGGGCAACACTGAGGGTTGCGATCCATTGCCGGACATGGAAAAAAGACAAAAGACAAAAAAAAAAAAAAATATATATATATATATATATATATAAAAACGGAAAGGAGAAATGAATCAAATTAGTACAATACAAAAATTCAATTAAACACAAAAGAAAGCAGTAATGAAGAACTGATAAACCAAAAAGACATAAGACGTATAGGAAAAAGATATCAAAACAGCAGAAGTTAAGTCCTTCCTTTATCAGCAATCACTTTAAATGTAAATGAATTAAATTCACTAATTGAAAGGTGTGGAGGGTTAGAAATCTTGATTCTCATCTGATTTTAGAATAGGGTTTTTAGGTAAATACATATATGGGGCAAAAGTCCTTGGGTAGGAGACCACAGCCTACAGATAGAGGGTGACAGCCCATCTAATCAACTCTAATCACTACTTAGGTATGGTACTGTATACTTCAATGATTTGAGAGCTAACAGGTTGTTGTCATACTGATCCTGTTAAGAGATTTTAAGAACTGCTGAAGGAAAAGATGTGAAAAAAATGTTTGCTAGGGGCAAGCTGTCAGTTGGGGGAAACTTTAGACATAATTATACTTAGATTTTATCATAAGAATGTAACTTCTGCTTAAGGAGAGGTTATACTTTAGATAATGAGCACAGTTTGACCAACTTAGCTTTTCACAAATTGTACTTTGGAATGTCACATTGTTAATTTTACTGATGTTACTAGTTTCTATTGTTTAAGTTATACTTAGCCATAGGTAACTTTAGTAACACTGCCCATATCCTTGCATCTTTTTTTTTTCCTTTTTGTCTTTTTTCGTGACCGGCAACGGGATCGCAACCCTCGGTGTCGCGCCCGTACCACGCTCAACCAGTGATCGGACCGGTCTCTATATGGGATCCGAACCCTCGGCGAGAGCGCCGCCTCACTCCCAAGCACCGCACTCTACCGAGTGCGCCACCGGGCCGGCCCTATCCTTGCGTCCTTTTGTAATGATTGAAT